TGTATTCTCGTTTTCTTGGTCTCATTGATAGAATGGAAGATATATTACAGAAATAAATGTAATTTTGATTGGTTTCACACTGGAAAGTATCTTAAAATTGAGCTCAAAGTAGCAGAAATGTTTGATTTTTGCCAATGCTCAAGAGTAAACAAATGAAGTCTCCATTCAATGTGTGTCCAAGTGGCTGGTCTAATACGCAGTCACGAATGGGTTGACATTATTTATACAGTTATTACAACAATGTAGTAATCTGCATAACAGTAGATCTTGTTTTTTTTTTCTTTGTGAATAAAAATTCAAAATGGAAAGCGAGCATAATATAAGAGAGGCCTCATGACATGACTAATGAACAGAGAAAATGTTATTTTAGTGTTTGGAATGTCTGCATTGTTCATTCTAGACCCTATTTTGAAATTGGCATCCCTTGAAATTTGTGTGAAATTGGCAAAATTACTGATTTCTGTCCACTTTATTGGGTAGTTGAAATAGGTAAATGGGTGGTTTCTTGTATTCAATTGACAGAATAGAAGGAATACTAGCCAAATAGCTATGAGTTTGGTAGACTGGAATAGTGGAATGGGCCAAAAATAGGGCTTTAATGTGGGTGATATCACCGTTGGGTTAAGTGTATTCTAACCTAACCACTCTGTAATCCGACAAAATCACTAATCCAGCACTCGACTGGTCCTGATGATGCCGGATTAGTGATGTTCAATCTGTATTACATTACCATCAGGCTGGTTTACAATAACAGCACCTCCTGCCCTCCCACTGTCAGGGTTAACCTTTCAGGGTTTCAGACGTACTAGTACGGCTTACGCACCAGGGTTTTTGACGTACTAGTACGCCTAAATTCTAGCGCCCTCAAATCTAGTGAGAGAAAGCTGGTAGGCCTACATATGAAAGAATGGGTCTATGTGGTCAGTGTGCACAGTATAAAAAAAAATCCTGCAGCACACTGTGCATAATGAGAAAAAAAAAACTTTGACAGTGTTTTTGGTTTAAAACAGCGACTTTGCAGTGTATTTTCGTATGGTATTTATGATGGTATTCTAGTTTTCCTGGTCTCATTTTATAGAATGGAAGACGTATTACAGAAATTGAGACGATTTTGATTGGTTTTACAATGAAAAGTACCTTGAAATTGAGCTCAAAGTAGCAGAAATCTTTGATTTTTACCAAAGTTCAAAAGTAAACAAATCATGCCAAGCGTCCAATACATGTCAACTGGTGAGTCTAATATTCTTTCACAAGTGCGCTGATATTATTTATACCATTTCTACACTAATGCAGTAGGCTGCATAACAATAAATCTTCTATTTTTTGAGAATAAAAATTCAAAGTGGAAAGCAAAAGAATGTAAGAGGGGCGTGGGGACGTGATTAATGAACAGAGGAAATGTTATTTTAGTGCCAGGAATGTCTTTCTTGTTTATTCTGGTCCATATTTGGAAATTGGCATCTTTTGAAATTTGTGTGAAATTGGCAAAATGGCTAAATTCTGACCACTTTATTGGATAGTTTGAAATCGGTAAATGGGTGGTTTCTTGCACTCATTCGATAGAAAAAATGGAGTTCTAGCGAATTAGTTATGATTTTTGTCGACTAGTACACTGGAATTGGCCGAAAATAGGGCTCAAAGTAGGCAAAATCGCCATGCGTAAACATCATCGAGACCGCTAACTTTGCGAGAGCTTAATTCCGTAAGTTTTCCATCAAATTTCATACTTTTGGTGTCATTATGATCGGGAAAAGATTCTCTATCTTTTCAAAAGAAAAATATTTTTTTTTTTTTTTTTTTTTTTTTGAAAATTTGGTGACCCTGAGAACCAGTCTCAGAGAGGGCCTGGCGACCATGAAAGGGTTAAGGGAGCCAATAACACAAATAGTCATGTGATGTTGTTCTTTGTCCAGAGCACTTAGTTTAGTAAGTAATTAAAGTTGAGGATTGTGCATATTAGTTTATTGGGAGGTTAGGTGGGCATAACAATATCAGAAGCTCTTATCTGCCAGGGTGGCAGGAAATGATACAGTTCATGTAGCCCAAACATTTTTGTGTATTTCTGTTATTTGAATTCATCTTGATTCACTTGTCTACCAGGCAGTAGCTTCAGCCCTGTCATGACATTAGTTTCATGTATTCTATCAGCAACACTAGGTATACCTAATTCTTTCCTCATATTGAGTATTTTGGTGGTTATGGGACAGCCAAGAATAATTCTCAGGGCTTCATTTTGTATTTTTAAAAGTCAACGATTGTAGTATGTTTGTAGGACTTAAACCGACGCATGGTTGCATCATAATGTATAAGTGATCTTATGTATTCTAAGTACAGTAGAACCCCATATTCATGGATTCGTATCTGCAGTTTCAGTTATCCACAGTTTACTGTGGCCCAAAAATAACCTTTATTTTTGCTTAATAATAGCCCTACAGTGCAAAAGTAGTGATGTTGGCAGTTCTTCAGAGCCTAAGAGAGGCCATGAAATACTTCCTATCAGTGAACAAGTGTTAATTCTAGACTTATTTTGCATAATACATCAGTTAAACTATCATAAGTATGTATGCAAACAAAATATGACTTCTATATAGGGTTCACTACTATCCATGGTTTCAGGTATCCACAGTAGGTCTTGGAACGTATCCTCCACGGATACGGGGGGATGGGGACTACTCTATATAATTTTTGCATGTAAAGTCTATCCTTACATTGTTGGTTAATTTTATTTACAAATGTTAGTATACATGGAACAGTAATTCCTAAATATTTAGAGCAGCACATACAATCGGTCATCCAGCCTTTTGAAGAAGCTCCATACAAACCTTACAGGATATGGCAAAACACCTTATTGTTGTTGAACAGATATTTGAAATCTTGAGGTTGTATCTACATTTTTGCATCGACTAGATGAATGAACTTTTTTTTATAGAGGACACTGCAACCCAATTGTGACCAATGTTTTTTAGTGGTAATATCAAAATTCTTTGGAGACTGTATTCCATACTGTATTGTGTACATTATCTATATGAAGCACAGTAATTATAATATGCGAAGTGACTAATATTTATTTCTAGTGATGTAACAATTCCCAGTGGAGTGTGATAAAGATCCACTGTGCCCTCTGTAATCTTACATTTTTTGCATTACCACTCATAGGATGAGCAAGGGTGCACAATAAAATAACCATTCAGATGGCACAAGTTACAAAAAAAAAAAAAACGAGAGGTACTTAGCATGTATTCCTGACTGGTGGTGAGTAGGTTACATGCAGCCTCAATGACCCTTTGAGTAGTCATTAAGCTTTAATTGCAATTAACCAACTATCAGACACCCATAGGTTTGGGGACTAGAACAAAAGAACAGTGAAGCATTAGAGTAAGCTTATTGAAAGAGACATCAACTGGTAAAATAGCACACCTGCCTGGTATTGAATAAGTACAATGACCTGTGGGTTAATATCACACTAAACTTATTCTAGGACCTTTCATACATAGATTGGATGTTTGAGAGGTGAGAAACCGGAACTCAGTGACACTGTTGAAAGTTAACCCTTTCACTAAGGCTTGCAAGCCAGTGTTGGTGCCATAGTACACGCCAAAATTCTAGCGGCTTTAGATCTAGCGGGAGAAGACTGGTAGACCTACATGAGAGAAGGATTTGAGTGGTCAGTGTGCAGAGTATAAAAAAATCCTGTAACATGCAGTGCATAATGAGGAAAAAAAACTGTTTTTGGTTTAAAATACCAAATTTGCGGTGTATATTCGTGTGGTATTTATGGTTGTGTTCTCATTTTCTTGGTCTCATTTGATAGAATGGAAGATATATTACAGAAATAGAGATGATTTTGAATAGTTTTCGAACTAAGAGTACAGTGGACCCTCCCTTTTTGTCGATCTCCAGTATCACCGATTTCCATTTTTGCCAAATTTTTTCATCAAAATATTGGTTCCGTTTTCGTCTATTTCCTCCGTTTTTGTCAATAGTATGGAACCTGTCCAGTGCCCAGAGCGCACACAAAGCCACCTCCTACACACATTCTCAGGAACCGTCGTGTTGTTTCTCGGTAAGGGACCATATCCTGCGAGGTCATACAAAATGTTTCATAATAATCCATTGTTTTTGGGACTTGTTTATATTGTGTGACTGCTAAATAAGCCACCATGGGCCCAAAGAAAGCTTCTGGTGCCAGCCCTTTGGTAAAGAATGTGAGAGACATGATAGAATTCGAGAAAAAGTTTGCAGAAAAATACGAAAGTGGTGGTGGTAGAGGGTGGTTAGTGGTTGTGATGGTGGTAATTGTAGTGATTTTTTTGTTAATACTTCTGGGTGTCTGGAACAGATTAATTGGATTTAAATTATTTCTCATGGGGAAAATGGTTTCAGTTTTTGCCAATCTCTCTGGAACAGATTAAACATGAAACCCAAGGGTCCGCTGTACCTTGAAATTGAGCTCAAAGTAGCGGAAATGTTCGATTTTTGCTGATGTTCAAGAGTAAACAAATCACGCCATACATCCAATACACGTCAACTGGTCAATCAAATTTTATGTGGGTCAAATATGCTTTCATAAATGTGCTGATATTATTTATACTATTTTTACAATAATGCAGCAATCTGCATAAGAGTAAATCTTCTATTTTTTGTGTGAATAAAAATTCAAAATGGAAAGCAAGCATAATATAAGGGATCTGGAGAGGTGACTGATGAACAGAGAAAATGTTATTTTAGTGCTAGAAATGTCTGCATTGTTTATTCTGGACCCTATTTTGAAATTGGCATCTCTTGAAATTTGTGAAATTGGACAAATTACCGATTTCTGACCACTTTATTGGGTAGTTAAGTAGGTAAATGGGCAGTTTCTCTATTCAAGCTACAAAATAGAAGGAATACTAGCGAAATAGCTATGAGTTTGGTGGAATGGGTCAAAAATAAGGCATAAAGCGGGTGAAATCGCCAATGCGTATATATCACCGTTGGGTTAAGTGTATTCTAACCACTCTGTAATCCGGTGCCCTACAGATCCCGATGATGCCGGATTAGTGATGGTCGACCTATACAGTGGACCCCCGCTTAACGATCACCTCCAAATGCAACCAATTATGTAAGTGTATTTATGTAAGTGCGTTTGTACGTGTATGTTTGGGGGTCTGAAATGGACTAATCTACTTCACAATATTCCTTATGGGAACAAATTCGGTCAGTACTGGCACCTGAACATACTTCTGGAATGAAAATATATCGTTAACCGGGGGTCCACTGTACTGGGGAAAGTGGGCTCCCCATGTTAGTTGCTTCTCTGCCTGTAGAATTCTCATTTGAAAGAAAAAGACATGATTTAGCCGAGTGATGAGGGGAATTTGTTTTGATGCTTTGAATAGAAATGTTAATGCATTAACAGGTGAACAAGAATTTGACATAGCCTGACGTATTTGCCCTTCAAATTTGATTTTGTTTAAGTCTTCTGAACAGTTTAAATGTCAGAAAATGAACCTGTGCCTAAGATGAAAAATGTTACAGGTTTGTTGTGTGTTTTTGGCAGCCCATAAAAATAAAGTAGCTTAAGGTTAATGTACTAGTTTCTCCAGTATGTCTTTTTTGTTTTTCCCTCCACAACACAATGGCATGCTGGGGAAACTCAAAATTATCAACCCTTAGCTATATTTTTAGTGCCAAAAACACACCCTTAAAACCTATCATGTCATTCATGGGAGGGGGGGGGGTGATAAATCTGTAGGAATCATACAGCACTAAAGGAATGGGAGGCATTCAGATTTAGTCCAAGGAAAGGGAGCACAGGTTCAACTCCATAGATAGAGTCCCTCGCCAACATCAAGTAACTTTCCTCGAGGGGATCTCGAGCAGTTCTTTTTCATGTGCTCCTGCTAAATAAGTAAGCATTTTGCTTTTACCACTTATGAATTTTTCTAACTCACATTTAAACCATCCAGGAACTTCAAAATACTCAGAAATTTGAATGACAAAAAAATGTTAAGCTTAGATGTTGAATTCTTATTTTCCAGGGTATATGTTGATGTAACAAACATGCCTAATCAAAGCATTAGTTCCTCTAAAATCATTGAACTCGCAAAGCTCTACAGTTCCACTGCTTTTCTTTCAATGGCAAACTCTTCAGGCATAGAAGTGGCTTTATAGCCACTTCTATGCCTCTGTGGGTTTCAATTTGACATACTGAAGTAATTAAGGTTATAAAATGTTATAGAAATGATAGACTTTATTTACAAAGGTAACAATAGAATGTTTATTTTACATGTATACAAAACCTACATAATATTTACAACTCGGGAGGATAAAATTTGAACTCTCCAACAACATTGCATGTTCTAAATGACTTTGCTTACAAAGTAATAAAACTGGTGAATTTGGGGAAAACATTCATTTTTCACCCATGAACTGTTAGTAGCACTATGGTAGCCCAGAACATTGGTACTCATAACTGGAGAGAAGTTTTATGGGACAATTAAAGACAAGCTGAGGTGAATATTAACAATGTGTGTGCACAATAATCCCATTTTTTATAAATACACAAAAAATGGGAAATGCATATTTCGATTTATCACATGGGTTTGTAATGAATTAGCTTCTGACTAATTCAAAACAAGAGAGCATTCCATGTTGATTATTGTAGTATGGTATGGTGCCAAGGGTGCTAAATAATGAAAAATACAGTAGATTCTTGACAGTGAAGAATGTGAGCATTCGTTGTTAATTTGCACATAGATTTTAGCTTCAATTACTCCAACAGAGTGGGGGGAAAGGAGGGGTGGGGACAGTTTAAAGCTTAAAGAAAAATTATAGACTACCTTGAGTATTATCCAACACACAATATACATATAAAAAAAAAAAAAAAGAACCATTCATAATATACACCTCCATATACATTTTATATAAAAACATAAATACTACATATACCTGTATAACACTTCAGATCATATATTCATAGAACATTTTACATAATAGACAGCACTGAAATAAATGATTTCACAGCACTAATGAAATGAGAGCAAGACTTGAAAGTTGTATAACCCTGGTATTGAAAACTTTTTTCTTTTCAGAAGAAATGGATTTGGAAGTTTAAATATTACAGCAATATTTTTAGTCTTATCAGTTTCAAATAGCTTATTACTGTATAATCAGAACTTCACTTTCCAACTCTTATAAACTTTTTTTTTTTTTTTTCTCTCTCTGGACATACACCACACTGAAAATGGCCTCCACATTTACTTTGGCATCTACTGGATGTACAATATTCCAAAATGATTATTATTATTATAATCAAAAAGAAGCGCTAAGCCATTCCAAAATGAATACAACTTCTTTTCAGCAAGTGAGAACAAGATGCATAGAGTTGCCATGCTTCCAGGTTCAGTTATGTAACCAGGAGCTTTTTGCGAACTTTGTGGTCCTTAGTAGGATTTCTTCTAATGATTGTATTTTCATCACCATGCCGCCGTCTTCTCAACACAAAATTAAGGTCATATTGAGTGTTGATTGCATAATAAACATTTGCAGATGCAGGCAACAGCATTTCTGTATAAAAAATATTAAGTTGCTATAAATACATAATCAAATTTTATATATAACTTAAAACAAATTTAGCATCTGTATACAACTGCAATGACATGCTTAAAAAGTGAAAAGTTTACTTAACCCAAATTACATTAGACATTAGTAGTAGTCTATGCTTTATCAGTAATGTCATTCCTCTAGGAAAAAAAAAAAATAAGTTGCTTACCACCATCAGGAAGAAACTGTGCCAATGTGTAGTCTTCAGGATTACCCTCGAATCCGTGTTTCTCCATTGCTTTTCGAATGACTGACACAGTTCTTTCAGAGTTGCTCAACATAATACTCTTGTAAAGATTTACTCCTGTAAATAAACAATGACGAACCCTGGCGTCAATAACGTAGGTCTATTCACGTGAGAGACAGTGAAATAGTTAAGTTGTACAATAATTTTTCCAATATTAAAGTCGGGCATAATTTGTTAAATACTAATTCCTTTATCCAACATAATACTTCTACTCTCTCAATATTTAACAAAAACAATTATTTCTACAAAGTGAAGTATAGTACGTATATAATTGACATTTTATTAAGTGACATGAATAAAGTATATATAAAGCCCCTTGTTATGCAGAGAATTTCAGGCAGCCTTAAAATTAACTTATAATTACTAGACAAATATGCGAGCAAGATAATTTGCTAGAACGCTATAGTTTGCATTTATAATTTTCATTATCAACTGGGTCAAAATTATGACACTCAGAAGCCATACACTGTATACCACCTTATAATACATAATTAAAAAATTATGGAAAGTAAGCTCACAAGATTCCCTGGGTAGCTTTTAAACAAGATGGATGGCAACGAATTTGGATAGACTTATTCTCAGTTAACAAATCACGATTACAGTGGACCCCCGGTTAACGATATTTTTTCACTCCAGAAGTACGTTCAGGTGCCAGTACTGACCGAATTTGTTCCCATAAGGAATATTGTGAAGTAGATTAGTCCATTTCAGACCCCCAAACATACACGTACAAATGCACTTACATAAATACACTTACATAATTGGTCGCATTCGGAGGTGATCGTTATGTGGGGGTCCACTGTACGTGTATTTCTATTGCACATTTTCAGTTAACAGAATTTGAACATAAAAAGTTCCATTGTATACGTTTTTACTATGAATTTTTTTTTTTAAGTCTTGAAAAGAGTTTCTCATTCATAAATATTTGATGAATTTATGCGAAATTTTCCTTAATTTTTATACTGACAATGTTCATATTTATGTGACATGGCCAAATTTTATAAAACTAGGTAAAACATTTTACAAACCTTCAATTTCATGTGCACTACTTTCAATCGACACTCTGATGATGTAGAAATCAGGAGTGATGTATGGAGAAGCTGTTGTCTGTTGAACGTGTTGTTGCTGAGAGCTTGAAGTACGCTCAGGAGTGCGACCTGATGCAGAAGTACCACCCGAGTGCACAGATACATCTAGTGATGGTAGTGATGAGCTACTAGATGATGTTGACATCTGGAGATTATGGAGGGGGGTTGGAAGGGATTCAGGTTTAATTCATGGAATTGGAGCACAGATACAATTCCCTAGCTCAAGAGCCACTCAACCAGCAAAGAACACACCAGTAAAGTTATAACTGGTAGTAAAGAATAATTGAGGAGCAAACTGTTAGGGCTCAGTTTAGAGATGCATGGATCAATTATTTTATAACAAAATAATAAAAAAATTATATATATAGTAAAAATACAGTTGTACATGGTATGGCGTTATCATACATCAGCTTGATCCATTGCCTTGCCATAGCTACACCTTGAGGGTATGTGTACAACACTATACCTGAGGATGAGATCTGCAGCAATCAACAATTAAACTATATAAAATTAGAGTACATATGAATTCTAATAATATGCAACCTATCACTTCATGGGGAACTGGAAAAAAATCTTTCCTCTGTAAGCCGTGCATGTCGTAAGAGGCAAATAAAATGCCAGGAGCATGGGGCTAGTAACCCCTTTTCCTGTATATATTTGAATGAAAAGAAGTGAGATGGGTGGTGAATGCTGCAACAAAAAGAAGGCTGGAGGTAGTGATGTCATGCGAGGGGAATGTGCAGTGTGAATATAATGCAAAGAATTCATAGTTTGAAGATTAGGAGAAGGTGTGGGGTTACTAAAAGTATCATCTACAGGGCTGAGGAGGGATTGTTGAGGTGGTTTGGACATTTAGAGGCTTGAACAAAATAGTATGACTGGAAGAACATATAAAAGTGGGGTAGGGATCAGCCTAGGAAAGGTTGGAGGGGTGGGGGGGTAAAAGGAGGTTTTGTGTGTGAGGGGCTTGTACTTCCAGCAAGAGTGTGTGAGCGTGTTACAAGCAAGTGGAGACGAATGGTTTTTTATGATTTGCCGTGATGTTAGAGTGTGAGCAAAGTAACATTTATGTAGGAATTCAGGGAAACTGGTTAGTCGACTTGAGTCCTGGAGGTGGGAAGTATAAAGCATGCACTGTGAAGGAGGGGTGCTAATATGCTGCAGTTCTTTTTTGGCTGTAATGTGGGCATGCCTCTGGCAAGACTAATGGACTGATTGATGACAAAGGTGTTTCTTTTTTGGGTCACCCTGCTTTGGCGGGAAAGAGCTGATGTGTTAAAAAAAAATTTAACCCATTACATAACTTACCTTTCTTTCTAGAGAGCATGTATCATTGTGACTGGTGGGAGTGTTTAAAGAGTCATTATCAAAGAAAAACTGACTACTGGATGATCCACTTGAAGTACTGGCAATGCTGTCATTTTTTCTATGCCCAAATCTGAAAAAAAAGTACTGTTAGCAGGAAGAGAGATTTTATAACTGTACATAAGTGCATCTACTACAGGAGGAAAATTAGACAATTTGGAATGCTTTGACAGAACATACTGAAAGTTCCCTGTCAACTGCTTTAAAAATATTAAGAAACACCACCTGAATTCAACGTAAATTCTGCATCGATCAACTATTTTATAGTCCAATATATCAACAGCAACTTGTTCGTTTACATCAAAACATTACAGTGTGTGGTGTGAATATTATGCAGAAAATTCGGAGTGTGGAACTTAGGAGAAGGTGTGGAGTTAATAAAAGTATTAGTCAGAGGGCTGAAGAGGGGCTGTTGAGGTGGTTCGGTCATTTAGAGAGAATGGATCAAAGTAGAATGACATGGAGAGCGTATAAATCTGAAGGGGAAGGAAGGTGGGGTAGGGGTCATCCTCAAAAGGGTTGCAGGGAGGGGGTATAGGAGGTTTTGTGGGCGAGGGGCTTGGGCTTCCAGCAAGCGTGCGTGGGTGCGTTAGATAGGAGTGAATGGAGACGAATGGTATTTTGACCTGAGAAGCTGTTGGAGTGTGAGCAGGGTAATATTTAGTGAAGGGATTCAGGGAAACCGGTTATTTTATCTAGCCGGACTCGAGTCCTGGAAATGAGAAGTACAATGCCTGCACTTTAAAGGAGGGGTTTGGGATATTGGCATTTTGGAGGGATATGTTGTGTATCTTTATACATATATACTTCTAAACTGTGGTATTCTGGGCTCCTCTGCAAAAACAGTGATTATGTGTGAGTGAGGTGAAAGTGTTGAATGATGATGAAAGTATTTTCTTTTTGGGTCACCCTGCTGTGGTGGGAGACAGCTGACTTGTTAAAAAAAAAAAATAAATAAAATTCATACTTGCCAACTGTCACCAATACTTTTCTATAATGTTATAATTAATATTACATTCCATTTCAGTATTTACTATGGCAAATGTGTATTATATAAAAAAGTAATGAAATGTATAACAGTGTTCTAATTATCTACTGCAACAAAACAGTCTGTGGATTTAAGATAATTTTAAGGCTGCCATTAAATCTACATATAACTAATCACCTATTCTTGTAACAATTGTATACTGTATTTACTGGAAATAATGATAATTTTCAATTTCATGTGTTTTTGTAAAACTTCAGGGGTAGAATTATGTATGTAATGTACTGTACTTGCTCTTTTTAAATATTCATATAACTGATCACTACAAATGTATAAGAATTATACAGGATTTTTTTTTTTTTTTAATCTTAAGTATTTCAAAGTGATAATTTCTAAAAGAGGAGGACTGCATTTTATTTGATCCTGTTTAGGCTTACTCTTTTTGTAAAGCCCATTTAGCCTTTCACATATTTCCTTATGTTGCTTACAGAATCACCAAGGTAAAAGTTTATTGGACCCTATAAATCAGAAATGGAAGTTTCTTCTGAGAATGCTGTTCTATTACAGACAGTTATTGCAGAATTGTAACTAATGAAATTATTAAAATAATAAAAGTATGATTGCAGAGCATAATTGACTTAGTAAGGAAAATTGACATGTGAAGCATGTGAGCAGTGCTAAAAGAAGAAAAAGTCATTCGTTACGTTTACATAATTGGGTGGAAAGTGGAATATGTGCCAAGTGTTGCAAATGTATTGAATACTTGTATGGCATGTTGTATGCTGTGAAGTGCTTCTGTTAGCGAGTTATTATGCTCACAGCTAAGAGCTACACTTATGGGGAGGTCATATAACACATAGGAATAGGAAGTAATCTGGTGTAATCCAAAGAAGGGAAAGATATCTTCAACTCCTTAGAACAAAGAACTGGGGCTGACACTGCAATCACCTAACATTATCTGCTCAACTGATTACTCACATGCAACAACATTCTTTTACCACAAGACTCCCCCCCCCCCCCCCAATATAAACCCATGTGTTATTCTTTGTGTGAATTGACAAAAGTTCTGTTAACAAAACTTCTTTTTTTTTTTTCTTTTAACACACCGGCCGTATCCCACCAAGGTGGGGTGGCTCAAAAGGAAAAACGAAAGTTTCCCCTTTTACATTTAGTAATATATACAGGAGAAGGGGTTACTAGCCCCTTGCTCCTGGCATTTTAGTCGCCTCTTACAATACACATGGCTTACGGAGGAAGAATTCTGTTCCACTTCCCTATGGAGGTAAGAGGAAATAAAGAACAAGAACTAGTAAGAAAATAGAAGAAAACCCAGCGGGGTGTGTGTATATATATGCTTGTACATGTATGTGTAGTGTGACCTAAGTGTAAGTAGTAGCAGCAAGACATACCTGAAACCTTGCATGTTTGTGAGACAGAAAAACATCTTCATAAACAACCTTACGTATACAGTGTCACTATATTGTACCATTGTAAAGTATTACCACAAGAGCCTTTCACTACAATTAAGGTGCCTCCTTCCCTTCCCTTATTATTATTACAATAATTATAACTAAGCACTAAACCTTAAGGGTCAGACAGTGCTGTCCCTTCCTTTAAAAAGTTTTACTAGGGGAGTAAGATAAAGGTGTGTGCAGGAAAATCAGAAAATGTTGTGTAGCATATCTAGTTATTACCAATATCCCGAATGTGTTTTAATATGGAAATTAAAATTATAAATGATGGGATATTCCAATTAGGTAAACAAGCCAAAATGAATGATAAGGAGTAATGACTATATTTAAAAAGTGTAGTTAAATAGTAACAATTATTTTCAGGTACTTACTGTGCTCTTTTTCTTATCCGACCCTCTCTGGTAGATGATGGAGCTGAAGATCCTTGGGGTTCAATCTGACAAGAGAGTCTCCATGCCTCTTTATCATCTAATACAAGTACAGAGTCCCACCATCTTTCAAACATCTCATCTCTCTCCATTTGATAAGCATTAGCTGCACCTTGGAGCAGTCGGATCTGAAGGTAGAGAAAACATTTCAAAACTAAGCACATAGATAAAATCATTCTTGTGTGGCATATGTTTTCTACTATACGTGTACCTCTTCAAGGGGGGCTCCTTGGCGTGGTGAAGAGGCTCTTGGTCTGAGGAATTAGACCTGTCAGTCTCCTTCCTCAGACCGAACCTAATTACCCCCCAATCCCCCCTTCCCTATCCCATCCTCCCCTTTTCCCTTTCCTCCTCCCCCTCCCCACCCCTCCCTTTTGGCCTTTGGGATTTTTCCCACAGGCGCGCTAGTTCCTAGGTAGGGGAAAGGGTACCGGGGTCCATCCCATTCCGTTGAGGTTCTTGGCGGTGGCGTAGTTTGCCGTGGAATCTGGATCGCCTGGGGATGTCCCGATCCCTCTCCAGTATCCCGGAGAGTGGTTTGGGGTGTCTTTCGGGCGACGGGTGTATCTCTGGAAGCCACCTTTCGGATTCCGGGGGTGGTGGCCGAAGGAGGTATGCTTTGTGGCGGATATCCGGCCGCCCTCTCTTTTGTCCACTGAGGTAGCTCGGCAGATGTGAGGTTGCTATCCCGGACTGCTGGTTTACTGGCATGATGGGTAGGGTATGGCACAGGTTCCATGCTGCATCTACGCTACTTGCGGTGCCGAGGTCCTCTTGGGCGCGGAGGGAGATTTCTGGCCCTTTCATTCCTCCTAGGAACTATCCCTCCCTGGTCCCCCCTTTTTTTATATCTTTTTTTTTTTATTTTTTTTTTTTTTTTCTTAAAAACAAAAAGAAAGAAGTAACCTAACCATGGCAGCCCTAGTCCATGAACCTGCTACCCCCGGGCCCCTTCATGATACCACACCCCAGTTCTGACCCCGCCTCGTCTTTGGACCACTCTTCGGACACTCATGCCTCTGTACCTCTTGCCGGTGATGTTTCCTCACCCGCTTCAGGTACTGAGGTCTCGACTGACTCCTTTGATTTATCTGACCTCCGCTCTCCTTTGACTATGCTTCCGGCCTCTCCCTCTACAGTGCAGCAATTTTCGAATCGCCGGCCTGTTCCACGTCGGACCAACTCTGGTCCCATGCCTAAACGCCAACGACAATTACCTGCTGATGATACTTCTCCACCTTTTCCTTCTCTGAAAAGATCGACACATCCTGCACTCCCTCTCCACGCTCAGTTTCAGACTGCACAATAGACTAAATTCTTCACTTTACAACCGACTTCCTCTACTGCCTATCTTTCCGACCACAGTATTGGCAAGGCACTCCTACGCCATGTTGGTAAAGATATTTCTTTTCATGCTCTTAAGAGCGGTACATGCATCATCACTGTACAGAATGCTACCCAAGTTCATGATCTTTCTCTTCTTTCCCATATAGATACTGTTCCTGTCACTATTGAAAAACATTCCCTCAATTCTTGTAGTCGTACCGTCATTCTGCCCCATACCATAGTTCAGCAAAATTTCCAGACATGTGGCAATGACATTCTTGAACAGCTGGAACTCCAAGATCTCCCAATCCTCAAGGTAGACACTTATGTTCTTCCTGCCCGCAGGCGGAGACGATACCCTAGCAATGTGGCTCGTTTAACTTTTGACAGCCGTGAACTCCCATCCTCAGTTTATGTAGCAGGACATCGGTTAAACGTTCGAAAGGTGATCCCTACACCGCAACAGTGTAGAAATTGCTGGCAATTTGGCCATCCAGCGAAATATTGCAGATCCATAGCCGAATGCCCAGTCTGTGGTGCCGATGACCATTCTAATACGTCTTGCAATCGACCTCCCTCTTGCCTTAATTGTCATGAGGCTCACCCTTCGTACTCTCGCCGTTGCCAAGTCTACTTAAATGAGCGGGAAATCCGTTACCTCAAAGAGGCAGAAGGTCCCCCTTATGCCATGGCAGTTTCTCATCTCCGCCTCCAAGGGAGACTACCTCGTGTTTCTTATTCCCGTGTTTCAAAACGTCCCCCCACTTCTGGGGTCCCATCTTCTGCAGCCTCCTCTGTGGTTACCTCTCCCATAGTCACTCCTGTATCTAATTCTTTTGCTGTCCTAGGCTCAGACGTCCCTACTTAACGCCTCAGTATCGGCGAGACCTCATATGACACCTCCTCCCAATCGTCCCTCTACTTCTCAGAAGTCAAAAAAAGGTCCTTTAACCCCTCCTTCCCTTCTTCCACCTCCTCATTTTACCTTTCCTGTCTCTGTACCGGGTTCTTCCCCTCTCACGGGCTCTGTTACAAGTGTAGAGGTTCACTCTCCTCCTCGTACTATACCTACCTCCCCTGTTCCCTCCCAAGTTTCTTCCTCTTCTGCCACCTCCCAGGTTTCTGCCTCTTCTGTCCCCTTCCACGCTTCTTCTCCAGTTCCCTCCACCCTCTCGCCCCCCGCTACCTTGCTACAGTCCATTACAGTTCCAATCTTTACTCATCCTCCCCCTACCATCTCCAATATTGTCTCCCATACGACGTCTCTGAATTCCGAAACACTTGAAGCAATCTCTGAATATATTGCAGAGACCAAACCATCAATGGACACTGATCCACCCTCTGTTCCTTCTCTCTCCTCTCCTCCATCTGCGCAACTCCTTTCTTCACAGCGCACCGTTCCTTCGCTGCTTGAACGTTTTCCGCTGCCTCCGCATGTGGACTTTTCTAACCCCTGTAGTCCGTAGGAACCCTTACCTGCAGATTTCAAGTATCTTTATCATTTATCAGTGGAATATACACGGCCTCAGGGGTAATCGGGGTGAGCTTCAGATGTTACTCTCCCTGTTTTCCCCTGTTGGTGTTTGCTTACAGGAACCAAAATTACACTCTGCTGTTATCTCTCCCATCTCAGGCTATAATTTATTGTATTCTTCAGATCCTTTTCCTGATTGGACCTTTAATGAAAGTGCCCTTCTTCTATGCACTGATATTCTGTACCATCAGCTATTTGTTCGTACTTCGCTGCATTACACAGCAGCCCGTATCCACTTGCATAGGTGGTATACGCTCTGTTCTTTATATCTCCTCCTCGGGCACTATCTATTCCGGATATTGCCTTTCTTGGTTCGTCATTACCACCACCGATTCTGTTACTTGGCGATTTTAATGCCCATCATTTCCTCTGGGGGGGGGATCTCACTGTCATTCCCGTGGCATTCAGTTAGAGGCTTTTCTTGCCACCCATCCCCTCCATGTTTTAAATGCAGGTACTCACACCCATTTTGATCCTCGGACTCACACCCTCTCTTGCATGGATCTCTCAGTCTGCTCTTCCTCTACCGCATTAGACTTCACCTGGTCTGTTCTCCCGGATTTACATGACAGCGATCATTTCCCAATCATTCTTACTTCCCCTTCATATTCACCATCTCTTCGTATCCCACGCTGGCAATTTGATCAGGTAAATTGGAACCTTTACTCACAACTAACTGTTTTTAGTGAGGTTCCTTCTTCGTCCTCCATTGATGAGCTTTTACACCTCTTCTCGTCCTCCGTTTTAACCGCAGCTTCTCATTCTATACCCCAAACTTCGGGCAGGCATTCTCAGAAATGCGTGCCTTGGTGGTCTCCTGCTTGTGCTCGTGCAGTACGTTTGAAACACGCTGCATGGGGCAGGTACCGGTACAACAGAACCACGGAGAGACTTCTTGATTTTAAGCAGAAGCGTGCGATCGCTCGCCGTGTCATCCATGACGCTAAACGCACTTGCTGGCGAGATTATGTCTCCACCATCACCTCTGCTTCCTCTATGAGTGCAGTCTGGAAAAAAGTACGAAAACTGAGTGGTAAATATTCTCCTGACCTGGCTCCTGTTCTGCGGGTTGCCGGTGTTGATATAGCAAACCCACTAGATGTTGACAATGAAATTGGCAATCATCTGGTCCGTATTTCTCAGGGGCTCCATCTATGCCCCTCGTTTCTTTCCTCGAAGTCTGCCAGAGAGTTAGCACCCTTGGACTTTTCTTCTCTCCGAGAAGAACAGTATAATGTGCCTTTTACACTTCAAGAACTAGAGGCAACACACTCAGCTTGCCGATCATCGGCAGCTGGGCCCGACAACATTCATATTCGTATGCTACAACATTTACATCAGTCAGCCCTTGCAGTCCTATTACACCTTTTCAATCTTATTTGGTCACAAGGAGTTCTTCCACAGCTGTGGAAATCTGCCATTGTTCTCCCTTTCCACAAACCAGGCACTATGGGACATGAAGCCTCCCACTATCATCCCATTGCTCTTACCAGTGCAGTTTGCAAAGTGATGGAACGCCTGGTAAATAGACGTTTAGTGTGGTATTTAGAGACACACAACAGTCTCTCCACTCGTCAATATGGCTTTCGTAAGGGATGTTCTACCATAGACCCCTTACTACGCTTGGATACGCATGTTCAGTTATTGCCATATTTTTTGACCTTGAGAAGGCATATGACACAACTTGGAGGTATAATATTTTGGCCCAAGCCCACTCCTTAGGCCTCCGAGGCAATCTACCATTCTTCCTTAAGAACTTTTTAACTGATAGACATTTCCGTGTTCGGGTTAATAACGTGCTCTCCCTGGACTTTATCCAAGCTGAAGTTGTCCCCCAGGGATGTGTTCTGAGCACAACACTTTTTCTCCTTGCTATTAATGATTTGGCCGCTAGTCTTCCATCAAATATTTGGTCATCACTCTATGTTGATGACTTCGCTATTGCCTGTGCAGGCACTGACTGTCACCTCATTACAGTTTCTCTCCAGCATGCGGTCGACAGTGTTTCCAATTGGGCCATCACACATGGGTTTAAATTTTTCAGCACTAAAACCCACCAAATTACTTTCACTAGACGCTCTGTCATCTCGATCATCCTTTGTACCTTTATGGCTCCCATATCCCTGAACGTGATACAGTCAAGTTTCTGGGCCTCCTCTTTGACCGTAGGTTATCCTGGAAACCTCACATTACCTCTCTGAAGGCAACTTGTCACAGCCGGCTGAACCTTCTTGAAACCCTTGCTCATCTTTCATGGGGAGCTGATCGTCGAACCCTCCTTCGCCTACATTCCACCCTCATTTTATCGAAACTTGATTATGGTGACCAGATCTATTCAGCGGCATCTCCTGCTACTCTCTCTAGCCTTAACCCCATTCATCACCAAGGATTACGTTTATGCCTTGGTGCTTTTCGCTCTTTCCCTGTTGAGAGCCTCTATGCAGAAGCGAACGTTCCATCCTTATCCGATCGCCGTGATGCCCATTGCCTTCGCTACTATGTACGCTCTCATGATCTCCGCAATCCTTCCATTTATAGAATGGTCACTGATGTTAGTAGACATTCTTTATTTGTTCGCCGCCCCTGTTTACTCTGTCCCTTCTCTCTTCGCCTTCATTCGCTCTTGTCTTCTCTTTAATTACCACCTTTCTATGTTCATGTAGCATCTCACTTTTCCCTACCCCCCTGGGAAGTTTCAGCTGTTCGAGTCTGTTCTTTCTCCCTCCCTTGCTCGAAAGCCCAACTGTCTATGGTCGCTTCCCGCTCTCTTTTTCTTGACCACTTCCACTCTCATTCTCATGCCATTGCTGTGTACACAGATGGCTCTAAGTCTTCTGACGGCTTAGGATTCGCAGCAGTGTTTCCGGACAGCGTCGTACGAGGGCATTTACTATCTTCGGCTAGTATTTTTACTGCTGAATTGTATGCCATCCTTGCAGCACTTATCCGTATTGCATCTATGCCTGTGTCATTATTTGTGGTTGTCTCAGACTCCCTTAGTGCTTTACAGGCTATACAGAAATTTGATACACCTTAGTCCTCCGTATCCAACTTTGGCTACGCCGCATCTTTACCAAGCATAAAGATATTGTTTTTTGTTGGGTCCCTGGTCATGTTGACGTACAGGGCAATGAACAGGCAGACACTGCTGCGCGGTCAGCAGTACATGACCTACCAGTTTCATATAGAGGTATTCCATTTACGGACTATTTTGCTGCAATATCTTCCCACCTTCACACCCGTTGGCAACAACGTTGGTCTACTATGCTCGGTAACAAACTTCAATCTATTAAACTGAGCATAGGTTACTGGCCGTCTTCTTATCACCAGTGTCGAGGTTGGGAGACTACTCTCTCCCGTCTTCGCATTGGCCATACTCGTCTTACTCATGGATATCTCATGGAGAGGTGCCCTGCTCCTCTCTGCGAGAATTGCCAGGCTCCATTGTCAGTCAGCCACATTCTGTTGGACTGCCCACTTTATCAACGAGCACGCAGAATTTACCTCCATCGTCGTCTTCGCTCCGCTGCTCTCTCTTTACCTTCCCTTCTTGCTGATGGACCCACCTTTCATCTGGACTTTCTCATTGACTTTTTGACAACAACTGACTTACTTCACAAATTCTGATACCTTTTGCCCTTTCTACCTCAATCTCTTGCTACCCTCTACCCCCATACTATCCCCTGCCCCGCTGTTTTCTGTAACCTACTGATCATCCCTCCTCCCTTCTGCCGCCCAATACCCTCGCTTCCTTCCCTACCCTGCAGCGCTGTATAGCCCTTGTGGCTTAGCGCTTCTTTTTTATTATAATAATAATACTGTACGTGTATATACTAATACGTACAGTGGTACCTCGGTATACGTCCGCTTTGGAATAAGTCCAACTTGGTATACGTCCTGTTTGGACTCGAAAATTTTTGCTTGGTATACGACCTTTGTTTGGAATACGACTTGCGTGCTAGAACTCATACGGGTCAAAATGAGTCATGACACCACGCGTTACCCTTGTTTACCTCTCTAGACAAAGCCACAACTGCTCACTTGTGTCATTATGCCTGCTGCTACCATTCAGCGATTTTTAGTAAAAGTCAAACATGGCGAGCTTCAACCAGGTCCAAATAGGAAAAAGAGACAGAAGAGAAAAGGGGACTCTCCTTCCAAACAATATCAATTCCTTTTCCTCCCTTCTCAGCACTATCCTAGTAGGCACTCGACCCTTGTAAGCAAAGTAAAGTGAGGTTAAATTTGCATTTATTTCATCTAATTCTTTTGTATTTATGTATTTTAGTACTAAGCAGTGTTTAAATTATTTTATACAACCCCATTAATGTATAACATGCTAATAACAATAGTATTTTTTTCATGGGAATGGATTAATCATTTTCCCTATATTTCTTATGGGAAAATTCGTTTGGTATATATCCTGTTTGGTACAAGTCCAAGGTCCTGGAACAGATTAGGACGTATACCAAGGTACTACCGTATAAATTTTAAAGTTCATCTTTATACACGGGTCATTTTTCATCAAGGCAGGACGACTATCAATGCACATCACTGCAACCAAATGACATGACCCACTGAACTGTATCCCCACCTACCACACTGTAATTCTGTAATTCCATCTCCAAAAATCAAGTTGGACTAACCAATATTTCCAAATGCCATTATAGAATTTATATCATGATTAGACACACCTGCTGGAGGCAGTGTTTAATGTTCAACAAAGTATAATATGGTCAGGAGTTGTGGGCAATGACAGATTTTTGAGATAGTTTAAGAAGAAAACAAACACCTGAGTTTAAGTACAGTAATGTGATATTTTAATGGGATTTAATAATTATAAAGAAGAAATCTGAAGAATTGTACAGTAATAAGAATTAAGAGTAAACATGTAGTTAAGGGAGTCTACAAGAAATTAATAAATCAAAGGGCATCAGTAACAATGGCAATATTAGTGTACTAGCAATTATGGTACAGATATACTATTATTATTTGTAATCAAAGCATTCACAGATTGTAGCCTTAACTATAAAACTCACAGTATGCAGAGTAAATGCAGTAATAATAGGGATTAGTAGAAGTAGTCATATCCATATTATTACATTCATGGGAAATGATGACACCTTTAGGGGTCATACAGTGCCTGGAGGATGAGAAGTAATCATGTTTGATCAAGGAAAGGAGCTCCAATTCCTTGAATCAAAACTCATCCACTGGCAGCCAGGTACCCTTGAAAAGATCCATAATAACCATAGCAGAAAAGGGTAATCTCATTACATTACAGTATTAGTACAAATCTAGGATGGAAGGTAGGCAGGGAAAAATCATTCCAGGAATAGCTGAGGGAGGAAGGTAAAGGAGTTTTTAGGATAATGACTTTCAGCAGGCTTGTGTGAACATGCAAGACAGTGAGACAGGTGGTTTTTCATGGATGTGCTGCTGGAGTGTGAGCAAGGTAATATTTATGAAGATGAAGACTAAGAAGTGTTTTCCTCCAGTTGCAATCAACCACTCAGAAGGAATGGTGGGACTGCTGCAGTCAGAGGGTCACACTTCCGGCAAGACGACTCAGTGAAAGATTTTTTTTTTTTACCCTACATTGGTGGGAGATGGCTGATGACAAAAAAAGTACTTATCAGAATTATATTATTAATACTAGTAGTTTATCCATATTATAATAGTAAACTTGGTTAACCTGATAAGGCTGAATGTTTCATGAAATTTTAGAGATAGAGCTTACTGGTAACTAAAAATGTAGAGCAGTACACAAAGCAGCTGTTAATTCATGTAAATGATATGCATATTTATGTAACGAGGTCTGCCAAAAGTCATATATAAGCCATTTGGGTTAACAAAACATTTATTTAACATATACCTGTGCCAGAACCTCAAACTCCTTCCGCTTTTTGTCAAAGTTGATCAGGCCATTTGCAACTGTGTCAGGAATAGCTGTATCAATCATGGTGAGATCAGTCAGGAATGTGCCAAGATAAGGAATGGTTCCATAACTAGTAGCCTGAAAATCAGAAATGAGGTTTAAATTAAAAATTACTGATGAATTGGAATACACTGCAAATATATTTACACTACTGTATTTACCTTTAGAACACTACCTCTTCTGTACCGAATACTATATATACCATATCAAGTGAGGTGATGAGGGTATCAAATGATTTAGATAAGAAAAACTGGAATATCAAATTGGGGAGGAGGAGTATGGAAGAAGTGAATGTTTTCAGATATATGGGAGTTGACGTGCCAGCAGATGGATGTATGAAGGATGAGGTTAACCATAGAATTGATGAAGGAAAAAAGGCGAGTGCTGCATTGAGGTATATGTGGAGACAAAAAACATTATCTATGGGGGCAAAGAAGGGAATGTATGAAAGTATAGTGGAACCAACACTCTTAAATGGGTGTGAAGCTTGGGTTGCACATGCTGCAGCAAGGAGGCAGTGGAGATGTCCTGTCTAAGGGCAATGTGTGGTGTAAATAGTATTAAGCAGAGAATTCGGAGTGTGGAAATTAGGAGAAGGTGTGGAGTTAATTAAAGTATTAGTCAGAGGGCTGAAGAGGGGTTCTTGAGGTGGTTTGGTCATTCAGAGAATGGATCACAGTAGAATGACATGGAGAGCATATAAATCTGTAGGGGAAGGAAGGCAGGGTAGGGGTCATCCTTGAAAAGATTGGAAGGAGGGGGTAAAGGAGGTTTTGTGGGCGAGGGGCTTGGACTTCCAGCAAGCATGTGTGAGCGTGTTAGATAGGAGTGAATGGAGACGAATGGTATTTGGGACCTGATGAGCTGTTAAGAGTGTGAGCAGGGTAATATTTAGTGAAGGGATTCAGGGAAACTGGTTATTTTTATATAGCTGGACTTCAGTACTGGAAATAGGAGTACAATGTCTGCACTTTAAAAGGAGGGGTTTGGGATAGTGGCAGTTTGGAGGGATATGTTGTGTATCTTTATACGTGTATGCTTCTAAACTGTTGTGTTCTGGGCTCCTCTGCAAAAACAGTGATTATGTATGAGTGAGATAAAAGTGTTGAATGATGATGAAAGTATTTTCTTTTTGGGGATTTTCTTTCTTTTTGGGTCACCCTGCCTCAGTGGGAGACAAAAAAAAATCAAGCACTGTACTATATTTCCTATTTCTTGACTTAACAAATTTACTTTATCAATAGTATAGTTTTATATGATCCTTTTTTATTTTTTTGGTCTCTCCTCTCTTTTACTCAACTCTAATTAGAGGAACAGCAATTTGAGGAGTGTAATTCAGCAAGTCTAATGAAATACTTTAATGAATAAATTAATACAGTCACACAATTGTGCCTTTTTGTTCTCTATGAATAAACCATTTACTGGAATACAAACTTACCAAAGGGTTTATAGCCAACTTCTCAAGAGCTTTAGGAAGATGTCTGTCATTTGCATGGGCAGTTTGTGCATGCTTTGCTGTTCCTTCTTTCATGAGCAACTCACGCTGATTTAACTGGTTGTTTTCTTCACTGAATATTCTTGCTAATTCTTCATACAATTCTGCCTAAATATACAAGATCATGAAAGTGTGTAAACATTATATGGTTTGCAAAATAATCTCAAGAATTATATTTTAGCTATCATTATGAAATTTCTTAACCTATGAACTCTTACTACTATAAGAAAATTTAATTCATACCTTATCTTTTATGACAGCACCCCAAGTTTTTTTAAGTCTATATATTGGATTTGACTGGAGTCCAGAGATAATTGCTTTTAGAGAGGAAAAATTCTTGTGCATTCTCAGCTCCTGTCAAGACACACAACAGTATTAAGATGAATTTAAATAAAAGTATAAAATTAAGACTAATTTAGGCAAGGCATAATAAAACATCAAACTCTAAACAGAGACTCCCCTAAATAACAGCATTTGTGCTGCGAACTTTCAATAATAGGAACAATATGCGGGAAGCACCAAGATGTAAAAATTCATAGTAGGTTATTCTAGCAGCATCGTCCATATGTGTGATTGTGTTCTCCACACATTCAGTGTTATTTGTGATTATTATACCCTGATTATGTCTGGTGTTAAGCACAAAAGCAGTGGTGATGCAGGTGGTAGTGCTAAGAAGCACCAGGCCATCACAATGGAAACAAAAGTGGACATCATAATGTATTTTTCCTGTGTTCATGTACAGTGGACCCTCGGGTAATGGCGGCATCGGCTAATGCCAAAATCTGATAGTGGCACATTTTTGTGTCAAAATATTGGATCGGCTGACGCCCAAGAATTCGGTTAAGGGCATTCGTCCTGAACGCGTCCACCTGCCCATCTGGCCTGAGCGCCTCAGCTGCCCACCTTCAGCTAGTGTGCCATTGTTTACAAGCCAGTCTGGACGATTCCAGGCATACATCCGATACATTTCGTATTATTCCAGCGTTCTTAGTGCTTGTAACTGCTAAATAAGCCACCATGGGCCCGAAGAAAGCTTTAGTGAAAACCCTGTGGTAAAAAGAGAAAATACTATCGAATTAAAGGAGATAATCGCAAAGTACGAAAGTGGAGTGTGTGTCTCCGAGTTGGCCAGGTTATACAACAAACCCCATTCAACCATCACTACTATCTTGGCCAACAAAAAGGCAATCAAGGAAGCTGTTGTTGCAAAAGATGCAAGTATGCTTACAAAACAGAGATCGCAAATACTTGAAGATGTGGAGAGACTGTTGGTGTGGATCAACGAGAAACAATCATGTATCAGGAGATAGTGTTTCTCAGTCAATAATATGTGAAAAGGCAAGGCAGTTGCATGCGGATCTCATTAAGAAAATTCCTCCAAATAGTGCTCATACTGATGAGTTTAAGGCCAGCAAAGGCTGGTTTGAGAGATTTAAGACTTAGTGGCATACACAGTGTGATAAGGCATGGTGAGGCTGCCAGTTCTGACAAAAAAGCATCTGAAAAATCTGTGCAGGACTTTAAAAGGTACATAGAGGCTGAAAAATTAAAACCCCAACAAGTGTTCAACTGTGACAGAACACGCCTGTTTTGAAACAAAATGCCAAACAGGACCTACATTACTCAGGAGGAAAAGGCACTCCCAGGACACAAGCCTATGAAGACAGGCTAACTCTTATGTTTTGTAGAAATGCTAGTGGGGGTTGCAAAGTGAAGCCTTTACTAGTATATCACTCTGAAACTCCCCGTGTGATCAAGAAAAACAATGTCGTCAAGACTAAATTGTGTGCGATGGGGAGAGCAAACAGTAAGGCATGGGTCACTAGGGACATTTTCCTTGACTGGTTCTATGACGTGTTTGGCCCCACTGTGCAAAAATACCTCCTGGAAAATAAATTGGACCTCAGGTGCCTCCTGGTAATGGACAGTGCTCCTGCTCATCTTCACGACTTGCAAGAGCTTCAGCAAAGTGAAGTTTTTGCCTCCTAATACCACTCCTCTTCTCCAGCCTATGGACCAGCAGGTCATTTCAAACTTCAAAAAACTGTACACCAAAGCAATGTTTCAAAAGTGCTTTGAAGTGACCTCAGACACTGAATTGACCCTAAGAGAGTTTTGGAAAGATCACTTCAGTATCCTCGGTTGCATAAACCTTATAGGCAAGGCTTGGGAGGGAGTGACTTGCAGGACTTTGAACTCTGCTTGGAGAAAATTGTGGCCAGAATGTGTACAGAGAGGGATTTTGAAGGGTTTGGGGCTAACCCTGAAGGGCCTATGTCAGTTGAGGACTCTACTGTGGCATTGGGGAAGTCCATGGGGTTGGAGGTTAGTGGCGAGGATGTGGAAGAGTTGGTGGAGGACGACGATGAAGAGCTAACCACTACAGAGCTGCAAGAGCTTCAGGTGCAACAGCAACAGATCACAGCTCAGGAATGTGCTTCAGAGGTGAAGGAAGAGAGTGAGGAAGTTGCCTTTGTCAAAGATTAAGGACATTTCTGCAAAGTGGGTTGAAGTGCAAACCTTTATGAATGAAAATGATCCTGATTCAGCTGTTGCAAGCCGTATTGGCAATGTGTACAATGACGCTCGTGTTCCATTTTAGGGAAATCTTAAAGACACCAAAAACGGAGCGCTCTGGACAGATATTTTGTGCGACAGGGGTCCATTGGCTCTCAAGCTGGTCCTAATGGCATTAAAAAACCAAGAAGGGAAGTAACCCCAGAAAAGGACTTGTTACCTGAAGTCTTTATGGAAGGGGATTTCCCTTCCAAACAATAATACACCTACATCCTCTCCCCTCCTCCCATCTCATCACTCAATAAGTCCACAATAAAGGTAAGTGTCATTACAGTATTGTTTATTGTGCATGTCTCATTGTTTTCTGTGTAGAGAAATGTATATTTCATGTAAAAAAAATTATTTTGTTTAATACTTTTGGGTGTCTGGAATGGATTAATTGGATTGCCATTATTTCTTATGGGCAAAATTAATTCGGCTAACGTCCAAATCGGTTAAAGGCGAGCTCTCTGGAATGGATTAGTGGCATTACCCAAGGGTCCACTGTATATGTTTAAACTATGTACACTTTTAGGTTACTCGATGTTCATACATACATATACTAGACTACTGTACAATAATGTATAAGCACATATGTTGGACTTACGAACGACTGCTCAGAAGCGAACCTGTTTGTAAGTAGGGAGACTGTACAGTAAACAAACCATACCATGGGTGGGATTAGAACTCGCGATCAGTCTCTCGAAACTCTTAGACCATCGTGTTAGCCACTGGACCAGCTAGCTTCAATAAGATTCATCCATGCTAGCAGGAGATTTGTCTGTAAAAACTTGCATTTGTGGTCACAGTGGTGCCTATGTTAACTTTCCTAGTTGGATGAATCTTAGTGAAGTTAGCTGGCCCAGTGGCTAACATGACAGTCTGAAGTTTTGAGACTCTGATCGCAGGTTCTAATCCCACCTGTGGTACGGTTTGTTTGCAATTGTGTCATTATGATTTCGTGAGTCAGACTGTACAGTGTTTGGTTCACTATTTCTACTGTGTGATTATACCTGAGCAATATCGATCCACTTGACAATAAGCCTCGCACGTTGAGAAGGCTTAAGCTCTGTGTCCACAAGGATGGTAGACTGGACACGGAAGCTTACAGCATTAAACTGATCAACTGTAGCTGTTACAGTTGCTGCTGTATCTCCACGACCACGATCTCTCCGTGACCAAACAGAGCCTAAGCACTGATGAGCTATTACTCCCTTAAAGAGAACCTGAAAAGTTATAATGTTAATTAATGGGTAAATTTATGAAAATTTTTATAATAAATGAGGAATAAAGAGACTGCCAGTCTATATTTTATTATTGTTTAATACAAGCAAGTAAAATGCTGTTTATCCAAACCAAATACGTATTATGGATAATATTTAGGTTAATACTTTTCTAATACAGATCATTCATTATCTGGCTATTAGTTACTCACCATCCAACATTATACAGTGGACCCCCGGTTAACGATATTTTTTCACTCCAGAAGTATGTTCAGGTGCCAGTACTGACCGAATTTGTTCCCATAAGGAATATTGTGAAGTAGATTAATCCATTTCAGACCCCCAAACATACACGTACAAACGCACTTACATAAATACACTTACATAATTGGTCGCATTCGGAGGTGATCGTTATGCGGGGGTCCACTGTACTCTTGTCTTGCTAATGAAAAGCACCTGAACAGATAAATGCACAAATGTACAACTAAGAACACAGGTAGTAGGTTGGTAGACAGCAACCGCCCAGGGAGGTACTACCGTCCTGCCAAGCGAGTGTAAAACGAAAGCCTGTAATTGTTTTACATGATGGTAGGATTGCTGGTGTCCTTTTTTGTCTCATGAACATGCAAGATTTTAGGTATGTCTCGCTACTTCTACTTACACTTAGGTCACACTACACATACATATACAAGCATATATGTACACACCCCTCTGGGTTTTCTTCTATTTTCTTTCTAGTTATTATTCTTGTTTATTTCCTCTTATCTCCATGGGGAAGTGGAACAGAATTCTTCCTCCATAAGCCATGCGTGTTGTAGGAGGCGACTAATGCCGGGAGCAAGGGGCTAGTAACCTCTTCTCCTGTATATATTACTAAATGTAAAAGGGGAAACTTTCGTTTTTCCTTTTGGGCCACCCTGCCTCGGTGGGATATGGCCAGTGTGTTGAAAGAAAGTACAACGAAGGACTATAAAAACCAATGTGGTTATCTGCTGTTACTTAACATTTGGCACACCCTCCCAAAGGCACTGGATTACCAATAATCCCTCTAGGAAGGTGCCTTAATGCTGGCAAAGGGTTCTCAATTCAAGGAACTGAAATTATCCTTCTCATTCTTGGACTGAACCTGAATGCCTCGCATTTCCCAGGCACTATATGGCCAATACAGGTTTAATGCTTACCTCTGATGAAACAAAGTATCAATTATCTACTGTATTTATGTTTAAAGAAATACATAGTACTTTTAATTAGCAGCAACCATTACACTTACTGTGTCCATTCGAGTTAGCTGCTGAGCAAAGGTAGATTCTGGTATATCAAGAAACTCGTAAGGCTGATGGTTTCCATTGCTCATTGGTGAAGAGCAGTGTATACGCATTTCCTCACAAGACAAAATCCTTTCTAGCATTGGTGAACCTGTAAATTTTTGGAAAATGTCAGCTGCATATGGTACAGTACTGAAGATGGAAAACACTGGATATAATAAAATTTATGGAAGAAATCACAAAATGCACGATTGCAAATATAAAAGAATACCACATTGAAAATAGGAAATAAAACTCAAGTGCTTTCATGTGTTACACATACACATCTTCTGAAGATAGGTGTGTAAGCACATGAAAGTGCACAGCTTTTATTTCCTATTTTCACCGTGGTATTTTTTTTTAATAAACTGTATTTACACTGTTGTACTGTATACAAGACTGGAATGATACATGAATCAATACTAATACTAACTCTTTAGGTCTTCCTCTCTCCTCATTTTCTCCAACTTGTAGCCAACCTTTATGTTTAAATCTGTATCTGGGAGATAAGTCTTGGTGAATTCCCATAGCTGCTGAAGACAGGCAAAGGATGGAGGATCTCTGAAGTCCTCGGGATAAGCATCTAGCCATACCTGAAGTGTTAATCTCAGAGCCCTACAAAATAAGAAAAGTGCAAATATATATCAAACTTGTCTCTGGTGTAGTTGCACTGAAACACAGTACAGATTACAATGATGCTAAATAATTTTGGTCAGGAAATAATTTTCTTTTACTGCATTGGCCACTTCCTATCCAGATAAGGTGAACCAAGGAATAATACCTTTAAAAATTTAGATCATAACCTCTTGCAAAAATATACAATATTTTTTTTAAATGTACATTTTATATTCCATATAAAAAATTTTACTGAAGAGGTTCAAAACTAAGTTTGTTTGGGGATCTTAACCCCTTCAGGGTCCAAGGCCCAAATCTGAAGTGGTGCCCCAGTGTCCAAGAATTTAAAAAAAAAATTTTTTTTATTTTTTCTTATGAAATGGTAGAGATTCTTTTTGTGAAGGTAATAAAACAAAAAGTACAAAATTTGAGATCTTTAAACTTAATGTAGTTAGCCTTATTGGAAGTTAAACGACATTATTTGGCTTTTTTCAGATTGTTTAACTTTGATATCAAGATGAAAAGATATACTAAAAAATTTTAAACAAGGGTTATATTTTAAACAAATATAATAAAATATTCTGAAATAATTAACAATAAGAAAATGTGGTAAATTTAAAAATTATGTAATGAATTTGGATTATACTACATCCATATTTCTTGTTCAGATTAATTTTATCTAAATCCTTTCACAAATAACTTATTTCAATGTTCAATACAATTTGCACACCAATGCTCAGTTACCACTTACCCCACTGCATGTTAGGCATTCACCTCACAATATGCCATGGTCATTACTTTATACAGTGCTGTATATTCAGCATGATATAAAGCCATGCTCCAAAATCTCAAGGGGGTTAGGTTCATGAAGGTAATGTGAATCCGAACCATGGATAACAGAAAATTTAATGTTTTTTTTTCTTGGGCTATATCTTTAAATAGTGCTCTCATATGCTTAATATTGACATAAGAAAGCATAAGCACTTTTCAACGTAATCACACGATTATTTTTAAATTAAGATATCACGTGCCATGCAAAAATACAACAGGTACCAAGAACAAAATTAAATGAAAACTGAAATGGCCTTCAGTAAAAAAAAAAAAAGTTAAATGAATCACATGGATTATGAACCATGTGAATTACACAGTCTGACTATACAGTGGACCCCCGCATAACGATTACCTCCGAATGCGACCAATTATGTAAGTGTATTCATGTAAGTGCGTTTGTATGTGTATGTTTGGGGGTCTGAAATGGACTAATCTACTTCACAATATTTCTTATGGGAACAAATTCGGTCAGTACTGACATACTTCTGGAGTGAAAAAATATCGTTAACCGGGGGTCCACTGTATATATGTACTGTATAAACTCAAAATTCTTTTATCATATTGTCAAGAGCCCATGGATTATCTATGCTTCCCTGACCATGGGCAGCTGCTCTCTCCATTGGATAATTATAATCTATAATGATCATACCCAACATGAAACAGACAGATGCCTGCTAAATGTTTAGCCCTTGGGCAAGACTGCCAGTCTTTTCTTTGTTTCAATACTTGCAAGATGATAGATAAATCTTGCAAAACTTTCTAATGTTCAGTAGTATGCATTTTTTTTTTTTTTATTAACATGTCGGCTGTTTCACACCAAGGTAGGGTGGCCCGAAAAAAGAAAAACTTTCACCATCATTCACTCCGTCACTGTCTTGCCAGAGACGTGCTTACACTGTAGTTATAAAACTGCAACATTAACACCCCTCCTTCAGAGTGCAGACACTGTACTTCCCATCTCCAGGACTCAAATCCGGCCTATCGGTACATCTCCACTGCCTTCAGCCTTCTCCTTGTTGCAACATTCACCACCCATGCTCGCACCCACATAAAGAGCGTTGGTATAACTATATTCTCATACATTCCCCTCTGTATTTTATAACAGTTCTTATAATTTAAGAGGCCTGGTCTGAGATTGGGATGTGGGAACCACAATCCTTGGAATCATTAGCAGATAACAGATCAGTGCCTAATCAGTCTGACTATGCATCATACACATCACCCAGTGTCACAATTTTGCTCCTAATGTAGTTAAAATTATTGAAAGATACCAAAGACAGTGATTAGTGAACAAGAAAACTTTAAAACATTTTTAACTTACTTTTTATGGTCCTCTCGAAGATGTGACGGAACATTAATTTTATTACTACTTGAAGTTAGGGCTAGGTAGCGATCAAGGATGAGGTTCAAGACTTGTCTAGTTGAGGAGAAGGTGCGGTATGTAGCAAGGAACACATTAACAAAGGTGGATTCCAATTCTCCAGAATCTGAGGCCAAAGATTCTATTAATTTCTCAAGAGTACCAGCTTTCAGGAACCGCACACGCACAGTTTCCCACTCCAAGTGAGAGATTTCATCATCATCAGATTCCTGTCATGATAAACTTTCATTATATTATTTATATATATAAACTGTCGGTATACAAATATTCATTGCAATTAACTTACAACCCCTTTCACTACCATCTTTTCTAACTTCACAAACTAACATTTTAATTGTTTTGCGGTTGTAATGCTTACTATGGAATAAAATATAATTGTATAACCTCTCACTGCAGTATTACTACAGTGATATCTCAAATGCACAATATGAAAATGTCTGCACCCTGCACTGTTACAGTGAGAATTATTATTATTATTATCACACTGGCCGATTCCCACCAAGGCAGGGTGGCCCGAAAAAAAAAAACTTTAACCATCATTCACTCCACACTGTTTTGGCCAAAAGGGGTTTTGCTTTCCCACTACATTTTTTAAACGGAAATTTTTAAACACCCCCCTTCAGATTTTGAAAGGCATGTTTTTTCCCTTTCCCCGGGAATAAAGGGTCCGGCCTGGGGTTTTCCCCTTTTGAATCCCTTCTTTAAAATGTTACTTTCCCTCACACTCAACGCACGTAAGTTTTTAAAAACCATTTGTCCCATTCACTCCTTTTCAAACACGCTCACCCCATCCCTGGGGAAAGTCCAACCCCCTCGCACAAAAAACCTCCTTTAGTTTTCCCTCCTTTTTATTTTTTTATGTTTTATGTACCCCCTCCCCCCAACCCCTTTCCCTAGGCCGCCCCTACCCCCCCTTTCCCTTCCATTTTCCCGACGGGATACACTCTTAAAGGGTAATTTTTGTTTCGCCCCCTTCTCTTTTACATGCCCAAACCCACCTCAACAACCCCCCTCACCCCTCGGGGACAACATTTTTGGAAATCCCCACTCCTAAACTTCCAAACTACGAATTCTCGCATTAATTCACCCACACATTCCCCTCAGACACGACATTCCATGCCCCCGGCTTCTCCCGTTTGCAACATCATCACCCCGCTTCACACCCATAAAAAGAGCGTTGGTAAAACTATACTCTCTTTACATTCCCCCTTTGCCTCCAAGGAAAAATTTTTTTTGTTCCACAAAACCCCTAAGTGCCCCACTCACTCTTTTTTTTTCAAATTCTAGGGATTCCCCTCATTTTTCTTTGGACCCACCCGCGGGGCAGCCCAAATCCAAATATCTGAATACGTTCACCTCCTCCATACTCTCTCCCTCCAATCTGATATTCAATCTTTCATCACCTAATCTTTTTGTTATCCTCATAACCTTACTCTTTCCTGTATTCACCTTTAATTTTCTTCTTTTGCACACCCTACCAAATTCATCCACCAATCTCTGCAACTTCTCTTCAGAATCTCCCAAGAGCACAGTGTCATCAGCAAAGAGCAGCTGTGACAACTCCCACTTTGTGTGTGATTCTTTATCTTTTAACTCCACGCCTCTTGCCAAGACCCTCGCATTACTTCTCTTACAACCCCATCTATAAATATATTAAACAACCACGGTGACATCACACATCCTTGTCTAAGGCCTACTTTTACTGGGAAAAAATTTCCCTCTTTCCTACATACTCTAACTTGAGCCTCACTATCCTCGAAAAAAACTCTTCACTGCTTTCAGTAACCTACCTCCTACACCATACACTTGCAACATCTGCCACATTGCCCCCTATCCACCCTGTCATACGCCTTTTCCAAATCCATAAATGCCACAAAGACCTCTTTAGCCTTATCTAAATACTGTTCACTTATATGTTTCACTGTAAACACCTGGTCCACACACCCCCTACCTTTCCTAAAGCCTCCTTGTTCATCTGCTATCCTATTCTCCGTCTTACTCTTAATTCTTTCAATTATAACTCTACCATACACTTTACCAGGTACACTCAACAGACTTATCCCCCTATAATTTTTGCACTCTCTTTTATCCCCTTTGCCTTTATACAAAGGAACTATGCACGCTCTCTGCCAATCCCTAGGTACCTTACCCTCTTCCATACATTTATTAAATAATTGCACCAACCACTCCAAAACTATATCCCCACCTGCTTTTAACATTTCTATCTTTATCCCATCAATCCCGGCTGCCTTGCCCCCTTTCATTTTACCTACTGCCTCACGAACTTCCCCACACTCACAACTGGCTCTTCCTCACTCCTACAAGATGTTATTCCTCCTTGCCCTATACACGAAATCACAGCTTCCCTATCTTCATCAACATTTAACAATTTTCCTCAAAATATTCCCTCCATCTTCCCAATACCTCTAACTCTCCATTTAATAACTCTCCTCTCCTATTTTAACTGACAAATCCATTTGTTCTCTAGGCTTTCTTAACTTGTTAATCTCACTCCAAACTTTTTCTTATTTTCAACAAAATTTGTTGATAACATCTCACCCACTCTCTCATTTGCTCTCTTTTTACATTGCTTCACCACTCTCTTAACTTCTCTCTTTTTCTCCATATACTCTTCCCTCCTTGCATCACTTCTACTTTGTAAAAACTTCTCATATGCTAACTTTTTCTCCCTTACTACTCTCTTTACATCATCATTCCACCAATCGCTCCTTTCCCTCCTGCACCCACTTTCCTGTAACCACAAACTTCTGCTGAACACTCTAACACTACATTTTTAAACCTACCCCATACCTCTTCGACCCCATTGCCTATGCTCTCATTAGCCCATCTATCCTCCAATAGCTGTTTATATCTTACCCTAACTGCCTCCTCTTTTAGTTTATAAACCTTCACCTCTCTCTTCCCTGATGCTTCTATTCTCCTTGTATCCCATCTACCTTTTACTCTCAGTGTAGCTACAACTAGAAATGAATTATGTGGGTAAAAATTTCTAACCTTCACAATATTTAAATTCAAATTCTTTATTTCAGCATGATACAATGTTTGTACAGAAATGGGTGATATTTAGGTGTGCATTCAGAAAGCCCTTAGCATTGCAGAGCATTTCGAGCAAAACTTTAAGCGTGTATGTATACATGTACAGTACATGTATACATATTTGTGCATGCATTTATCACATTGTATAAATACTGAATTAATGTCTTGCTCTATATCTCTCCTATTTGTGGGTTATTTATGCATCTACCAAATGCTATCCATCACCTGTAATATTCCCTGCTTGATATCATTCTACACTTAATTCTACAAGCTAATTGTCTCCACTCTCCTTCGTTACATATACAATTACAATTTGCAACAAAAATATAAACCAATTACTGGGGTTCCTTGGAGCCAATGAAGGACATTGCAATCATTCTCTGCATAACTATATTAAATGCTAGGTTCTGTTTACTTATCTAGCTATTACTCTGATTCTGTAGTTTGTCAAAGCTCAAGGGGATCACGTGAGGTTTTGCTTATTCTCCATCACCATAGAAAAGTTTACTGAAGTTATGTAAACTAGATATATTTCAGTCACTGCATTATCTGAAAAAGGTACATATTCCCATATCCCTTAAGCTCAACCCCATCTACCTCAATGCAAACAAAAGGAATAATAGAATGTAGATTACGTTTCTAATGCAATTAAGTATCAGCATCGAAGACTTCAAGCCAATCAGAAAAGGCATTCACAAGTAATGTCATAAAAACTGTATCTCAATTTGACTCACGAAATCGTAATGACACGATTGCCCAGTGGCTAATGCGACGGTCTGGAGTTTTGAGGCTCTCTGACCGCGGGCTCAAACCCGACCTGTGGTATGGTTTGTATCTCAATTTCTTTAACAAATATAAAATTAGCACCTAGTCAGTCTATAACCAATTAAACTTTTCATTAATATACTTCAGTTTCAAAGTTTAAAGCCAAACAGAAAGGGCATTCTCTAGTTATCTCAGGAGATCAATATCCCAAAATACACCATTTAATCAACTCGCATTATCCCACTTTTTTTTTTAAATAAGATTTGAATAGTGTTGCTAAAATTTAGCATTGCAAGTTTAATATATAACTATTTTCTGAAGGCCTGTGTTGTTTTAAGTTACCTGTGTGATACTCCTGGAGGGATGGTGGTATCGAACCTTCTTCAGGTAGACAGTGTAGATAGCGCCTTCACATTTTTCCTCACCCCATAGTCGCCACGTCGGCGCCTGTAAATAAACAATGGTAATGTATAGTTAATTTTTTACACGGTACAATTTCGTCTAAAGTAAACTTTGACTATTTCAAGACTCAGCCCTATCCAATAAGAACAAAAGAAAAGAACACGAGGAGCACTATAGTACTGGCCCATGCTAGACAGGTCCTTCTAATGTACACTACCAATCCCCAAGGTGCAGTCCAAATCAGTGTACTAACAACCTGGTTACTGCTAGGGGCACAACAATGTCATGCCCAGTCTGGGAATGAACCTGAACTGGTAAAGATGAATGCTCCACCAGGTTGGTTAATGGACTTAAAGCCTTCTGACAACTCGAAAAGTCACTAAGGCTGCATATCTCCTGTTCACCAGCCAAGAATACTTTAATGTTAAAATAAGGTTTAAGTAAACTCTCACTAGATAGAACAGTACACAAAGACATACACCTCTTGGTTTACTTATTCCGATGCGCTCCACCGAGCTGGGTAATTAACATGAATATGTAAATTCCTAAAGCAAACTCAGTGTGTATGTGAATGTTGAGATTTACAAAAGTCAAATTACTAAGAGCTAATATCCATTTTACAAGGTAAATGTTTCATATATAAAATTGCGAATGACTGCTTCCTTTTTAGTTTTTTACGTGTCAAATAAAAAGCATTATTTACACAATTAAAATATAATTAATAATTATGATTATATTCATGGGGAAAGCGCTATCGACTACACGAGATTATTAAGGCTGCATGCAACATGCACAGTTCACACCACTAGATAAAGATACCTTATTCCCTAAAAGATGGATTAAAGTAAACTCGGCGTACACAGCCGACAACCTCTCTTGTTGCCCCACCAGCAAGTGATGGCGGCAGTGCGCTGAACAAGCCATCAAAATTCACAGCTCCCTTATCCCACACTACAAACACAGACGCACGCACGCGCGCGCGTCTCGGGGTCACAGTCCAAGGTAAAGTGTCCCCACCTGGTCTTTACATCAGCCACCTTCATCGACCCCACCATCGCTCCCTCCCTCCAAAAATTCACTTATCCTTACTGTTTTCTTACATACACCAGTATGCTAGAAAACAGTTACCCATCAACAACGATTTACCAAAATCACTAACCAACTTGAACGATTATCAACTAAAATCATCCTCCATCATTAATAATCTTATTAACTTTACCACTAACCCCCAAAAAATCAATCACAATAGCCATCTATCACCATCAGTATACCAGCCCCACATAGTAGCCCTCATTCCCAAGGCCTTGGAGCTGCCTTCCTTTCCTCTGATCAAACGATTGCCGCCTATTTCCCAGGCGCTGTATGACCTCTACGAGTTTAACTTTGTGCTTCATTATTAATATATTAATGAAAATAAACCAAAAGCTAATATTAAAGGAATAATATTATTGCCAAACGTTGTATAACCCATGAGGCTTAGTGCTTACTTTTTAATTTTTAATGTTTCGCATAATGCTTGTATCTTAAGGGATAATCGAAAGAAAAAAACTGGTACATTTGCCCTGGTCTTTAATGATATGAGAGAACATGAGTCTGCAGCTCCGTATGACTCGCATACTTGAGAGCCAAGTGTGAACTGATCCTAAGGCCTATCGGCCACAGATCTCGGAGGAGTCAGGCACACCGCACATACACACATGCCAGAGGGCCTATGATGCGACTCAGAGCTCTATATGGCTAACAATTATAACCGCTGCAGACAGTTCGTCAGTGAAAGATAGGTCATACCCGGTATGACCCACTTCCACTGGGGAATCCCGCTTACCAGTGACTATGCCCTCGTCTGCTACCCGTGCCTTTTCCACCCGACGCCGGTATACAAGCCCCAATCTTCATGCCTGTGCTACAGAATCTTCACGATTATGGTGCTCTTCACACCAACTCCAAGGCTGAGGGACTGATTACCTCATCTTCTGTATATAGTTCTTGTCTTCTAATCATGTCTTTGAATTTGTAATGATAAAGCCACTGGACGGCGAAACGTTACAATAAAGATACTCAGATGTTGCACGTGTGTCTAATTTTCATCTACAGACCTAAGATGAGACCTATTACAAGTACTAGACAAAAACAAGTATTAACGCTGGCATAAAAAGATGGTGTTAACTAATTTAATATCACACTTCATGTGAGATATCTTTAATGATACGAGAAAATGAGCGCTACACCATGTAACTAGATTGTGTGAGCAAACTTTGAACTCATCCTACGGCCTCGAAGCTGGGAGGCATTAGGCATACATCACCTGTGTCAATGGGTTTATGGCGTTAATGTCACCAAGAGTATAAGACTAACCATTAAAAGTCACTGACAATATTTTTTATTCACTGGGAAGCGCTAAACCCGTAGGGATCATACAGCGCCTGTGCAATGGGAAGTAATCAGGTTTGAACCCAAGAAGGGGAACATAGCTCTAATTTCTCTGATGTCAATGAAGGGGGGCTTGATCCATGTTGAAGGTGCAGTGGTGAAGGCAGCACATTCTCGCACTGTTAGTGATAAGTGCTCAAAATTGAATGTTGACTGAATTTTCTCGACTACCTTGTTGTCGAACTTGTCGATGCCGCCTTTTAATTTGCCTATCTGTAATTAAATATACATTTGAATAAGGAGAAATTTGCCTGATTTTTAAGGTGCCCAAATTTCCATTAACTTACAGTATAACTAACATTTGCTAGTCTTTTATTTTCATATGGCAAATTAAATCAATTAACCCCACTTCAAACAAATAACCACTGGATTATCAAAGAATCTGCCTTGAAAATGTTTAATTTCGTAGTCCATGGAGGGTTGCCGCTTCCTCAGAACCCCGTTCCCTCCGGCCGCATCATTCCCTATATATGCAATGAGTTGCATGGCAGGGCAGTTTGGTACAACCTGGCGGCAGCAATGTTGCCACAACTTGCTGACCCTTGTTTCCCCACACTGCCTACCCTGGTGCAAACCATCAGCGCAATGATGCTGATGTTCTGCCTTTTCGCGTAGTTGTCACACGTAGCACAAAAAGTTTGCCTCATCACTACACTATACCCGCATTAGGGTAATAATGGAAGAACACTGGAAGACCCTAACCTTATATGAATTCTAAAGTTAAGATATCAGATATCTCCATCATTTTGATATGTTGCATAAGTGTCTCAATCTTCGACAGCGGGGAGGGAGGTCATCATAAGCACTTGTCTGTTTCTAAGCTGCACCAATAATCAACTTGTACTGCTCCTTTTGCAACACTTAAGAACTGAAGCCTTTATCTGATAAAAGAGCACTAACCTATTATCAGTCACAAATTGGTCAATATCACCAGAAAAAGTATATCGAGTGCGTAACTGGTTTCTGCCGACATTCCTTGTAATAGATACCATCTAGAGATGTACATTATGGCCGCTTGTTTCAAGCTCTTACCGGTATCGGAGTTTAGAAAACTATTTCACAGAGCTCTCTAAATAAATCAGAAAATGCAACAAAAAATCACATTATCAAGGTCCTTAAGAATTTTAAAAAATGCATATGGAGAACACTGCAATTACTGTCCTGGAACTTTATGAAGAGTTTCGTTAGCTCCTTGAAGGAGGGCGAGATAACTTTAGCTCTTCCATCCCTTTAGATGTGCTTACAATAATGGTCTATGGTATCAACTTAAAGCTACTCAAGGCCCACTTATTAAAAGCCAATGACTTGTGAAACGTTTATATTAAGACTCGAAGGTGTTACACCTGTGTCTTATAAAAACTAATACATTAATTTTTAAATACCTATATTACTATGAAGTACTGATATATGAAGATAGCCTGTTGTAGAGGCGAAAGTGTCAAAACCTTTCTTATATCTGAAATTAGTCTATCACAAACAAACTGTGTGTACATATATACAATTTCTTGTTACAAAGGATTATCTGCACTCCTTGTTTTTATTGTGATACCTAGTGACGGGAGACTGACAAGTGTTTACGCTAGGCTCCCACGCACAAAGATGTAATGTTTACATTTTGATCCATGGTGTTCCCCTACCTGGGTTCAAATGCAGCCACACAGTGACCATGCTAAATAACACCACCTCACAATCTAATGATTAAAGGTATATAATATCGACAAGTTGATGAATAAGTCGAATAGGTAAAACTGGTCAATTAGCAAGAACTCTTAAATTTTTCTCTTGATACGTTTAAAGATGTATACTTTTTCATTTATGTTCATGTAAAAATAAATTTGTACCAAAAGAACCTTAAAAAACTTACCCAACCTTATTATAACAAGCGCAATTTAATTTATCCTAATCCAACTAATATATTTTAGATACGTTTACAATAATTTAATTGACAAGTTTTACCTATTCGGCACATTATTTAATTATAATAAAGCCTTCTATAGTTGAACCAGTAGTAGTAGAAGAAGTAGTAGTAGGTGGGTCAGACATTTAGCAATCGAGTTGCAAAACATCCTCTAATTTCTTACAAAGACACTAGAGGTCAATCTCTGGTCCAGTTTATGGGCCTTACCTACTTCCATTAAGCTACCCAAATGCTGAATAAGACATACATATGTCGGTATTATACACTTTTAGGCTGACTGACTACTTATAAAGACAGGGACTGATTATCTAAAGATTACTTCTCCTTTGCCTCCGATGTCATAATTACCTGTATTCAGCTCACAAAATCTGCTACATAGGTGACACGTTTCGACAATAAAGACATCTAAGTGTTGCACATGCGTCTTAAATCAAAGAGTAACCACAACAAAATGTATATGGCGATTTTTAACCTAAAACTTTTTTTTTATTATCTTTTAGGCGAAGGTGGAAGTGAGTTTTATTCAGATTCATTACGCAAGTTTAGATTTTTGACAACCGTCTTACATTGTAGCATGTGAGCAAATTAATCTGGTCAAACAATGACTTATGTTAACACTGCTCACAATAATAATCTTACAAGCTCCTTTTAATAAACGAATGATAAAATTTTTGTACTAGCTAACTTACCTTGTAATTTATCGAACCGAATCTCCAACCAGTTATATGCACCATTTGTGATTGTTTCAGCTTGTCTGAGAGCTGGGATCATCAAGTCTCCATTTCTTCACAGACAAATTATACTAGTTTTGATTAAGCAGTCATTAGCTGGGTATACGACTTAAAATTAACATCACAATGTAGAATTCGTTACCATAATTATGTCATCACCATACAAGTGTCGACAGACTTTATAAGTCGTAGTATGACTAGTAACAAGTGGTCGTAGTGGCTCATACATTATCTAGTGGGCCGAGTTCACCAGATACTGCACAAACACACCCAGCCATGCACACTCGCAAGATAAAACTAATGACTAGAAGCTCAGCATAGCAGTTCCACATCACTTTGGTCCTGGTATGAAACACAAAATATAATCTACCAGCAGAACACAGTAATGGCTTAACACGTGGATTCCATCAACACAGTAAACTAAGTTGATAAGCACAGGTGGTAGATGGGTAGGTCAGAGAGCGACGGACAGCATGGAGAGCACACATACTCCCCCATGCACAGCGCTGGGACAACTGAGGGGAGGTAGCTGCTGGGCCTGGCCAGGCTGGCTGGCCTGGGCCGCCCCCTGGCCACAGCTAGGGAGGGGAAGCTAACATTAACACAGCTGCTGTTTCAACCACAGGAAAATGTTACTGCTTACCCACGTCACCCAGCATCAGCATAGCTTGCCCGGGATATGACTCACTACACAGACCTGTGTCACTCAACGTTTCTAAGTAAGCGACCCTTATTCAAACAAGTTTAACATGCTTTAGGTTTAAGCGCTTTCTGAGAGTACTATAGCAATAATTAATAAGTTTTACTGAAAGTTACATTAAGCCTTTAATACGCATAAACACATAACGTTTACTGCAGGTAAATTACAACACAAGTCGCCTTATTGCAAGGATTTTCTGCACTAGCGGGAAAGAGGGGGACGGGAGATAGGAACGAGGCAGACATGAGTCATCATACATCAATACTAACCCCCTCCCCCCCCAAAAAAAAGACTAAACCTTTTTTTTAAGGAATTATTAGCTCCGTTTCCCTTCTTCCTTCCTTCATCCCCCCCCCCTTCCCGTCTCTCTCGACAAGCTCGACAGCTTTGCACAAGGCCCTCCGTGAAACTAGCAAGAAGTCTTAAAACGTTGTAATTTTTTATTTTTTTTTCAGATATGGTAAACACGAGGAAATTAAATCTTCATCAGAGTACAAAACAAATTCTGGCCACAAAATAGAGCGAAACACCAACGTCAAAGACTTGGGAGTGATCATGTCGGAGGATCTCACCTTCAAGGACCATAACATTGTATCAATCGCATCTGCTTGAAAAATGACAGGATGGATGAGAACCTTCAAAACTAGGGAGGCCAAGCCCATGATGACACTCTTCAGGTCACTTGTTCTATCTAGGCTGGAATATTGCTGCACACTAACACCACCTTTCAAGGCAGGTGAAATTGCTGACCTAGAAAATGTACAGAGAACCTTCACGGCGCGCATAACGGAGATAAAACACCTCAATTACTGGGAGCGCTTGAGGTTCCTAAACCTGTATTCCCTGGAACGCAGGCGGGAGAGATACATGATTATATACACCTGGAAAATCCTAGAGGGACTAGTACCGAACTTGCACACGAAAATCACTCACTACGAAAGCAAAAGACTTGGCAGACGATGCAACATCCCCCCAATGAAAAGCAGGGGTGTCACTAGCACGTTAAGAGACCATACAATAAATGTCAGGGGCCCGAGACTGTTCAACTGCCTCCCAGCATACATAAGGGGGATTACCAACAGACCCCTGGCAGTCTTCAAGCTGGCACTGGACAAGCACCTAAAGTCGGTTCCTGACCAGCCGGGCTGTGGCTCGTACGTTGGTTTGCGTGCAGCCAGCAGCAACAGCCTGGTTGATCAGGCTCTGATCCACCAGGAGGCCTGGTCACAGACCGGGCCGCGGGGGCGTTGACCCCCGGAACTCTCTCCAGGTAAGCTGTAAAGACTGATGAGCAAGTCACAATACCGTGACTGGAACAATTAAAAAAATACAAGTAGTCCTACTGCAATATTTTTTTTTTTTATGTTCCAATGTGATCCTCTTGAGGGAAGCGTATGGAATGGAGATACCCAGGTAATCCCTCTTAAGATGCAAGTTCTACTACTACTAGCCTCCTCTTGATATTTTCCTCCTCTCACCTATCTTTTTTTCCTCTTACTCCCCCCCCCCCTCTCTTTACCGTCATGTCTTCTCGTTTTCTCCCCATTTTCATGACCATGATGGTTCAGGAAAAACGGAAAAGTCGTCAATAATTTTCTCTCCAATATGTGAGTTTCTGAGTGAAGATTGATGAACTGTCATATGGTATTTTTTCCAGCTTCTTTTCTACAATCTTAAAAAGTGTTACAAACACCATAAATAAGCAAGATGAAATAAAGATAATCTTTATTTTTTATTGAGGAAGAATAACAGCTGAAATTTTTAGTTTACGTAAAAATATAAGAATGAAGAAACAATGCAGCATACTTGGCAGTTCTATAGTCTTATACTCTTATGTAAACTAAAAAAAATTGTGTTAGTTTTCCTGTAAAATGGATCATAGTTATTTGTTCTTACATACTTGTGATTGTCTTAATCCCCTTTTAAGATGGCACAACAGAAGCAGGAAGACCATATAACAAATCACGTTTTGGTTCTTCGAATTCTAAACACTGTAAAAATCTTTCGTTGGTCAATGTATGCAGGGGATGAGATGAAAAACTCAAAGCCACCTTCCTGAATGCAGGCAGCTTTGGACCAAAACGTCTAGCTTAGCTGGGAGCCAAAGTACTGGACCAGTGGGGTACGGTGAACAGAGTACCGCGTATTAACCATTAAACGGTCCAAACAAATCGACGTTCAAATTCGTAGTGCTACAAAAGTAGATCTACTTTTTTTAACATATTTTCAAACGTAACAAAAAAAACGTAGATAAAAGTTTCTTTTACACGTTTTCAAATGTAAAACAAAAAAGAAGATCTACATTTTTTTACATACTTTCAGATGTTGAAAAAACGTATATATACGTTTGGACCATTTAAGGGTTAAGGTTCATAGGTTCGACCAGTTTTATCTATTCGTGCCGAATAGGTAAAACTGGTCAATTATCAAGAACTCATTTAAAATTAAGCCCTTTACCACTTGTTCCTGGTTACAATATATATATATATATATATATATATAATATATTATATATATATTATATATATATATATATATATATATTATATATATATATATATATATATATATAGTATATAAAACACGCACATATAGAGAGTGCCAGACAGAGATGGGACCATGGGTGGTGTGGTCGAGGGTACTATTACAGCTCCGCCCCTTCTACTGTCTCCACATTACTCTACTCCCCCTCCCTTGTTTACTACTACACCAAGCGTGCGCATCACAAGTACCCTTTACATACAAGGATTTGAAAGCTACAGAAAACAACATTAAACAAGTCCAGAGAGGTACAAAAATATGTGAATAACATTGAACAAGTCCAGAGAGCTACAAACACATGAATATAACACTGAACAAGTCCAAACAGATTAAAAACTTTATGAAGAGATCAGAAAGTGCCAAAAGCTAAAACATGGCTCACAAAAATGGGCAAAAAATGAGTAACAATGAAATATTGACTCGCTAAATTAACCTGATGTGGTAAGATCAAGAAGCCTATAATAGTTTTAAAACAATAACAGAATTATACTTCATATGGCGAGTCAAATCCGTGGGGGTAGGGAGGTCATTCAATGCCAAGGAGTAGTGGAGACTCGATCCTCCGTCTGGTCAACACAAGCTACTTAGCACCGTCGTATGAACAAGAGGAAACAGAGGAACCATACAATGTCTAACAGCACCTTTCAAGGCAGGTGAAATTGCCGACCTAGAAAATGTACAGAGAACTTTCACGGCGCGCATAACGGAGATAAAACACCTCAATTACTGGGAGCGCTTGAGGTTTCTAAACCTGTATTCCCTGGAACGCAGGAGGGAGAGATACATGATTATATACACCTGGAAAATCCTAGAGGGACTAGTACCGAACTTGCACACGAAAATCACTCACTACGAAAGCAAAAGACTTGGCAGACGATGCACCATCCCCCCAATGAAAAGCAGGGGTGTTACTAGCACGTTAAGAGACCATACAATGAGTGTCAGGGGCCCGAGACTGTTCAACTGCCTCCCAGCACACATAAGGGGGATTACCAACAGACCCCTGGCAGTCTTCAAGCTGGCACTGGACAAGCACCTAAAGTCGGTTCCTGATCAGCCGGGCTGTGGCTCGTACATTGGTTTGCGTGCAGCCAGCAGCAACAGCCTGGTTGATCAGGCGCTGATCCACCAGGAGGCCTGGTCACAGACCGGGCCGCGGGGGCGTTGACCCCCGAAACTCTCTCCAGGTAAACTCCAGGTAAAGGATATGGAGGAATAGAAAAAAAATAGCAGGAAGAACAAGAGACTATAACAAGAAAATGCAATTGGGAGAACAAGATTATAGCAAGAACAAGAAAATACAACTGGGAGAACAAGATTATAGCAAGAACAAGAAAATACAACTGGGAGAACAAGATTACAGCAAGAACAAGAAAATACAACTAGGAGAACAAGACGATAAGAACAAGAAAATATAACTGGGAGAACAAGAGACTACAACTCCCTTCAAGGAGGGAGGGAGTGGGTTTGAGACCGATGAAGGCCTCTTAAATCCAAAGAACTGGAAGTACTCGTACCTTCCTTGGATTAAATCAATTACCTCCCATTCCCCAAGCACTGTGTGACGCCTACTGGCTTAGTGTTTCCCATTAAAATAATAATTAATAATAATAATAATAATAATAATATAATACAAACCCGCAGCCAGAATTTCAATCTGGAAAGCTTAAAAAACACAAGATACTGAAAAAATCAAAAAACTCGTTTTTTAAAGAAAAAGAATTTTCAACCTGGAGGTTATTCCGGGGATCAACGCCCCCGCGGCCCGGTCCATGACCAGGCCTCCCGATGGATCAGGGCCTGATCAACTAGGCTGTTACTGCTGGCCGCACGCAGTCCAACGTACGAGCCACAGCCCGGCTGATCCGGCACTGGCTTTAGGTATCTGTCCAGCTCTCTCTTGAAGGCAGCCAGGGGTTTATTGGCAATTCCTCTAATGCTTGATGGGAGGCTGTTGAACAGTTTTGGGCCCCGGACACTTATGGCGTTTTACCTTAGTGTACCAATGGCGCCCCTACTTTTTATTGGGGGCATTTTGCATCGCCTGCCCAGTCTTTTACTTTCGTAGGGAGTGATTTCTGTGTGCAGATTTGGGACCATTCCTTCCAAGATTTTCCAAGTGTAGATTATGATATATCTCTCCCTCCTGCGTTCCAACGAGTACAAGTCAAGTGCTTCCAAGCGTTCCCAGTAGTTAAGGTGCTTGACAGAACTTATACGTGCAGTAAAGGATCTCTGTACACTCTCTAGATCTGCGATTTCACCTGCTTTGA